TTTAGGTGAATCATTACATAATGGGACATGTGACTGTAACAAGAGGAATCGGTGAATAAACACACAATGGGACATGTCTGTAACAAGATGTATAGATTAATTATTATACTAAACAAAAGTGAAATTTCACAGGTGTTACTTTTTGCCCGAGACAAACCGATATCCAACAAAGTTTGTTGCTAGTGGATAAATCTGGTCTTTGGACGTACACTAAAGACCGCCTCCGTGGTGTAGTGGTTTGAGTGTCCGCCCGGAGAGCAGAAGGTCGCAGGTTCGATCCCCGACCGCGTCATACCAAAAAGACGTTAAAATATGGTACTTGTTGGTCCCTGCCTGGCGCTCGGCATTAATGGGTACAAGGACTGGTCGGCTCGGAGTCAGTATAATGTGTCTGAGGGTATTCATGCTTCACTGGGGCATGGGACCCGTGAAGATCCGGGGTAGAATAGGTCTTCAGCAACCCATGTGCTTGCCATAAAAAAGGCGACTATCTTGTCGTAAGAGGCGACTAACGGGATCGGGTGGTCAGTTTCGCTGACTCGGTTGACACATGTCATCGGTTCCCAATTGTGCAGATCGATGCTCATGCTGTTGATCACTGGATTGTCTGGTCCAGACTCGATTATTTACAGACCGCCGCCATATAGCTGGAATATTGCTGAGTGCGGCGTAAAACTAAACTCACTCACTCACTCACTGGGGCATGGTATCTCAGTGGGCTAGCACTATAAAACCAGCTTAAGTCGGGGATAGTACAAGCAGCCGCACATACACATACACGCATGCACGTCGTCATATGAGCGAAATATTCTCAAGCACGACGTTAAACACAATTTCACCTCACCTCACGTACACTAAAACAGGCCTAGGAAGAATCATAAGGCTGCGCTTAACAGACTCTCCACAGTCAATATATATTATATGTATGTCTTCTTCCAGCCAAAAGAATGTGGTCCAACAGTTTACAGTTGGCAGTCCCTTGTATACCAAACAGGATGGATTTAAGATGGATTTAAGATTTAGTTGATTTTCTTATTCCAAAGTTGCCAAATGTCCCAAGAGTGGCCTGCTTTTGTTTTGGCTGGTCATAATCAGTATTTGGATGTTTACATGACAAATGAGTTTATATTGTACTGGTTGTACTCCCTGCATAACTCAGTGATACAGCACAGACCCCATGCTTTTTTTCTTTTCACTATCTAGATCAAAATACACCCATACATTTGATTTGTAAGCGTTCTCACATGTATGTTAATTATCAACAAGATAGTTACCTTATAATTTTTGAGAAGTGAAGTCTCAGTCATAATATCAGACCATAACGGCCGCTCATGCTCAGCACATGGCAGACAGTCTGACAATATAGCCCAATTAGAGTTATCTCCCCTTATTTGAAGTCTGAATTGCGAGATTCGGGGGCGGAAGTTGCATGGTGTGGGGTGCTTTCTGTGGGAACAATCGTTCCCGACTTCTGGTCATCCGTGGAAACCTCACAGCTGCTGCTTACCGCGACCAGGTGCTCACCCCTGAACTTTTGATAGAGACTATATTGTGAATGGAGAGAGAAAAGGGCTTCACTTTAACGAACCAGTTATCTTTACATGTGGCATTTTGTAACATCACTTAGTGATATTTAGGTAGATATAATACTAATCTATGGAATTAAACACAAATAAGGACATATGTGTGGGGTTAAAGTTGTTTTTGAGAGCCCGGGCCAAGTCGGACCGAAAGCATGACTGTGATACTGTGTGGTTGTTGAGAATGTATAGAAAATAGGGCTTCACTTGAAGCAACGTGTTTGCTTCAAATACAACGCTTTGAGACTCTATAAAGACGTACTTAGGTAGATATAACTCTATTCTAGAGATATAGACAGAAATCAGGATTCATGTGTGAGGTTTAAGGTGTTTTTGACAGCACGGACCAAGTCGGGCTGAACAGAGACTAAACACTTTTGATTGAGGCTATGTTGTGAATGGAGAGAGGAAAGGGTTCACTTTAACGAACCAGTTATCTTTACATGTGGCATTTTGTAACATCACACATTGATATTTAGGTAGATATAATGCTAATCTGTGGATTCAAACACAAACCAGAATATATGTGTGGGCTTTAAATTGTATTTGAGAGCTCGGGCCAAGGCGTACCGAACGCTTGTGATACTGTGTCTTTGTTGAGAATATGTAGAAAAGATATCTTCACTTTCAGCAACATTTTTGCTTCAAATACTACGCTTTGAGACTCTGTGAAGTGACATGTAGGTAGATATAACACTAATCTATGGATTTAAACACATTTCAAGATACATGTGTGAGGTTTAAGGTGTTTTTGACAGCACGGGCCAAGTCGGACTGAACAGAGACTAAACACTTTTGATTGAGGCTATGTTGAGAATGGACCAGTTATCTTTACATGTAGCATTTGATAACATTACAAAGTGATATTTTAGGTAGATATAACACTAATCTATTGATATAAACACATTTCAAGATACATGTGTGAGGTATAAGGTGCGTCTGAGCGCCCGGGCCAAGCCGGACCGAAAGCTTGTGATACTGTGTCCTTGTTGAGAATGTATAGAAAATAGGGTTTCACTTTGAGCAAGGTGTTTGCTTCAAATACTACGCTTTGAGACTCTGTGAAGTGATATGTAGGTAGATATAACACTAATCTATGGATATAAACACATTTCAAGTTACATGTGTGAGGTTTAGGTTGTTTTTGACAGCCCGGACGAAGTCGGGCTGAACGGAGACTAAACACTTTTGATTGAGGCTATGTTGAAAAATGAGAGACAAGGGCTTCACTTTAACGGAGCAGTTTTCTTTACATGTTGCATTTTATAGCATTACAAAGCGATATTTAGGTAGATATATTACCAGTCTATGGAATTAAACACAATTCAAGCTTTTGACGGCTCGAGCCAAACCGGCGGAAAATTGTGGCCGAGATAATGTTGAGAGTGTGTGGGAAGAGATCGTTTCATTTAAATGTGGGCATGCTTTAAATACGATGAATAGTGAATTTATGGGGTGGTATGTGATTGGATATAGATGTAAAAACATTTTCGGGCCAAGGGAAATGTGTATCGGAATTGGCTGAAGTATTTATAGGTTTTAAATCCCGTTTCGTTTAACGCTTCCACTTTTAGACGTAACCTCGGTCAGCCAGTTCACAGGCTTCTCGTCTTCCTGGATTTTAGCCGATTTACTCGTAATAAAGTTATTATGGTACGCGTTTGTCTCTTCCGATTGATCATTATTATCATGAGTGTATGTTCCATTGATTAATTGTAGGCATGGTTTTCGTTAATGGGTTTATTAGCCAATAATAGATTTGGCCCGCCTTGGCCCGGCCCAGCCCGACTTTTAGGCCATCCCCTTTTGGTGTCCCCCGCCGTGGTATTGACAGAATATTGCTTAAAGCGGCATAAAACCAAAGTCACTCACTCACTCAAGATATCAAATATTTTCTTGTTTGGACCAGATAAAGAAAGTCCATACCACGACTAAAAGCATGAACATTCTATCAAAAAATTCTATCAAATGAATATTTATTAGCAATAATCAAATACAAGGTCATAAAATGCACTTAGGTTGAAATGCACCATGCACATAGTAGTAATAAACACACATACAAATTGTTGCTAAAGAGAACGAAACAGAATATCTTGATGTCTTCAGCATGGTTCTCCACGCAAAACTTCATTACCCATCCTCTTACACAAACGTGAAATTACAATGTTATTGGAGATGAGAATTTATTCATTTAAACGTCTTTGAGTTTCAGAATCCATGCTTACTGTTTCATCGGGTGAATGAATAAGTTATAAGAAATGAAGAAAGTTATAACTGACTTCACAAGGTAAAAAAATAGAAACAAAGACGTATGCTAGGTTTAAGTCAATTATTATTTTTGTATTTTTAACGTTCATTCAAAAAGAGCATAAAGAGTCACATACTGACACAGGAGTCCTGGGACAAGTCATGAATAACAAGTGTGACCACCCTAGACATCCATCCATCCATCCCAACACACGTCTCATGATTGGCGTCGTTAGTCAGCGGATGTTTTCTGTTCCATAAGTCCAAGAGAGTCTGTTGAAGTTCCTGTCGGTGCGTTGGAACATGCTGTCTCAGCTGACGACCCAGATGATCCCATGCTGAGAATCGAACCTGGGTCTTCAGTGTGATGAGCAGACGCATTAACCGTTAGACTGCCCAAACGCCCCTACTATAACAAATGTGGAAACTATAACAGGGTAGCCAAGTCAGTTACCATAAATTAGTGATTCGCAAATACGAAAGATGTCCTGGTGGTCAATAAGCACTGACGGGAAATGTGCAATGGGGAGGTGAATACTAAGCACAGATCTGACATTTCCACCACTAATGACAAATTTAACTGAGGCATTAACATCAGGATTTAACCTTCTTTGTCAGTGTAACATATGTTATATTTGGGATTACACTTTCTTGGGAAAGTACAGATTCTAGGACTTTTGTTGAGTTGAGTCCTATCCGGGATTCGAACCCACACCCTCAGAGTCAGGCACCTAATCGCCAGCACACAAAGTCAGCTGTGTAACCTGCTGGACATCTTTTGTATTTGCGAATCACTGTGGAAGTCACAGTGGCTGAACGGGTTAGGTGTCTCAGTACTATCCATCACATTTCCATTCTGTCCATTGTGTTTTGACAGCAAGGGTAAATAACTGCTGGTTTACCTAGTTGTCTCATCACATTTTGTTAGCCGCCACATAACTGGACTGACTGACTGAGTTTGGTTTTACGCCGCTTTTAGCAATATTCCAGCAACATCACGTCGGGGGACACCAGAAATGGGCTTCACACATTGTGCCCATGTGGGGATTCGAACCCGGGTCTTCAGCGTGACGAGCCAACGCTTTAACCATTAGGCTACCCCACCGCCTCCCACATAACTGGAATAGTGCTGAGTGTGGCATTTAACAATAAACAAATAAACAAGCAAAAACATTTTGTTCTTACATATTTTTATATCCTCTTTGAATCCTGGCACTTATTCACCTGACAAAGGAGTATCTAAAACATGTTTCTCATAATAGAGATGCTGATATCTGCAAATTTTCACCGTTATGTGTATCACTTCTAAATGCCATTCATCATCAAAAAAAGATAAAAAGTAGGTTAATACAAAACATACTGAAACCAGTTCCAGATAACCCATGTACAATCAGGGGCGGTGGAATAGCCTAGTGGTTAAAGCATTCGCTTGTCATGCCCAAAACTTGGGTTCGATTCCCCACATGGGTACACCCATTTCCTGTATCCTGCCATGATATTGCTGGAATATTGCTAAAAGCAGTATAAAACTAAACTCACCCATTCATGTACAATCAGATTACATATGTGACACAGTTGATATTTAACAAAGTTACATGCATGTTAAAGGTACTGTAACACTATTGTTTGTGCACACTTGTCAGCGATATGTCTGGACACTTGTCAGCGATGTGTCACTCACAGCTAAGCAAAATATGGCCGCCCAAGTAGAGTACGGCCATGAGAAATGCCGACTAATCAAAACATGGCCACCAGGGCAGATCATGCCAGTGGAACTGCTGACTAGTCAAAAATGTTGCAAGCTAAGCAAATTATTTATCATTCATGTGCATATAAAAGTAGGGAGGATAGGCAAGTAAAGGAGAGCCGGCAGACAGCGGGAAAGGCGTGGACAGACCAGCAGAAGAGGCAAACCAGGGACTTGAAGGGACGAACTGACCAGCCAATCCAGACATCTGCTGCCCAAGTGTCAACTTCACCTCGTCGCCTTCCCCTGGTAGCCTCTGCCGGACTCTGCAACTTGTGTACTAAGTGTCCGCCCTATCTCACAAATATACTCAAGAAATAAAGCTAACATCCTTTGACGTTGCGCCTTGTGCTGTCTCAAGTCCATCCCCCTGGAGGTGTTACAGTACCTCAATATGACATTGGATATTACACGTCCAAGCTGAGATATGTGATTAAAGTTGAAGATGAAGGTGCTTATGTGTAACACTTTGCTGAAACCCAGGAGCATTGACTGAGGAGGATAATAATGGTAACTGTTGACTTGGAACCTTGGAAATACTTTGTATTAAGGTGACAATTGTAACAAGAAAGCGACATAGATAAAATGCAAGCTTGCGCTTTACGGGTCAATAAACTGTCTTGGGATTATGTTCATCATAGAACAGTGATACATTTACTTTAATGCCTACGAAATGATGAACACATGAGAAAGTTCATGAACACATCTCAACTAGCAGATCCTGGCACCACAAAGGGAAGCAAATGTTCACCACAAGATGCTTATCATCTACAAACCTGGGCCCTGTTTCACAAAGCGATCATAGCGCTACGACTATTCAATGTTACACTATAGGAGGTACAAATGCTATGAAAAAAGTTACGAGATCTTAGGCTTACGAGAGCTTTGTGAAACAGGGCCCTGGGCCCCATTCCATAAAGCGATCATAGCGCTACGACTGTCGTAAGTCTATGTTGAAGTATCGGGGTTACGTTCACCTTAGCACCACGATGGCTTTGTGGAACAGGGTCCTGGCTCTTGTGATACAAATAATGCACTGACAACTTTCTGGGAAGGGTTCTAGTTAATCCATGAATATGTATTTTCTCTTGATTCTTGATAACAAAAAAGTTCAAAGTTGGCTTAAATGAAAGAGGTAAAGCCTTAAAAACTGTGTAAAGCAGAGTTCATAATATAATTCAAGCAATACAAAAAAGTATATGTTCGTGATTAAGTACAAATAGTAATGATATCAAATAAGGGGTAGCGTATCCTGCCACATTGATTGCACAAACACATGCAAAGAAAGTGTTTGTCTGCACAAACATGACCAAACAGTCAAAATTACAATCACAGTTGACCACATGTCAACTATAAAACTGCTCAAAGGTTTAATAAACTCTTGGTTGCCTTTTTTGACAAGCATGGGTTGCTGAACAGTGAGTGACTCAGCAATATCACAGCTATATGGCGGCGGTCTCTGAATAATTGAGTATGGACCAGACAATCCAGTGATTAACAGCATGAGCATCGATTTACAAAGTTGGGCTATGATGACATGTCAACCAATTCAGTGAGGCTGACCACCCAATCGTGTAAGACGCCTCTTTCGACAGGCATGAGCTGCTGAAGGCCAAATCTAACCCGAATTTTCAAGGATCTTGGAATGCTGAAGACATAACCATTGGAACACAGTTTTCCTGTGATGGCTGATGGGATGCTTACTGGCCACATGTAATGAGCTCCACTAAAAAAGCCCTCATTGATATGCATTACTTAATACTTTATAAAATAACATAAATGTAAAAAAATGTTTGCAGATTTTTCACTGCATAATTGTACAGACATAAAAGGATATGACATGAAAAGTATAAAGAGGTAAAAATCACCCATGCTGAGGACAATTCCTTTGAACACATTCGGCTCGGCACCTTTAATTGTCATGAATGACAAACTGTAGACAGCTGCAGAAAAAGCCATTCAATCCAACTTTCTAAAGTGATTAAGTTACTGCCGAGCTGGCAAAATCTCATCTAATGGATAAATGTCATATTACTTGTAATACTACAAAAAGAACTTCAAGGAAATAGAGGACTAGGTATACCTGACTAGATATTGTGCCATCCCCTGTTCTACAGCACGCGATACTGAGCTTCATCCAAAACACAATGACATCAGTTACATCTAAGTGGCTCAAAGAAGGCACATAATATCCCTCTGACTTGTGTACTGTCAATCAATTTTCCTTCAATTCATCAACGATTAATCAATCATCCATCTTTAAAGAACAGCATGTATTCAACCATTTTGTATAGAAAAATATTTGAACCAAACCACTGAAAAATCGAAAGCTGAAAACAACCACTCCTTCTGAAATACTTCTCACCACTGTCCATTCCAAAACAGCTCCACTAGCAGTGCAGACTCATGTAGTAAAGATGATTTAAAAACTTCCAGTGAAAAACGCAGTCTGTTTTTTCTTCAGATTTTGTTTGAAAAGTAATTAGCAATCTTAAAATTGCCTGTTTTGTTGATCTTCACCTTGTAGAAATCTTTCTTGGGCCCCTTGGACGCGACATCAATTCTGGACTTAACGCCTGCTGGTATTGCGTGGGACTCGTGGTAGTAACCTTGTCCACTGACCGTGGCCTGGAATACTGCATAGAAGTTCCTGAAACAAAAGACAGAAGATTCAAGGAATGTCAATGGTTAAAAAAGAAGGGAGCAGGACAAATGCCACCCGGACAGTTGCCACCGGACAATCGCCACTCAGATGATGTTGATGTACAAGACTGTCTTACGTTGCTAAAAGTTGGTTATTTGGAAGAAAGTTGGAAAAAAAACCTGAGTTATATTTTTTATGTTTTGGGTGGCAATTGTCCTAGGTGGCAATTACCCAGTGGCAACTGCCTGCGTGGCAATTGTCCTATACCCATTAAAGAAGCTACAAAAGGGTAATTGAGTATTGTCACAACTGAATTGTTTAATAATATCACAGTCTTGGCTTTCAGTATAATTTTACTACCCATGAAGACCTGGTTTTGAATTGGATTTCAGCAACCCATGATTGTCTCGCAGTGAAGATCCGGATTAGAACTGGTCTTCAGCAACCTATGCTTGTTGTGAGAGGCAGCTAACGGAATGAGGTGGTCGGGCAAATTGACTTGGTTGACACATGTCATCGTATCCCAATTATATTGATAAATGCTTATGCTGTTGATCACTTTAGTGTTTGGTCCAGACTTGATTTTTTACAGACCGCTGCCGTATACCTAGGATATTGCTGAATGCGGCATTAAACAACAAACCAACCAACAACCGGGTAAGAACTGGTCTTCAGTGACTGAAACAGCAACAATCCACTGTGGAACAAAAAATTGTAATGTGACAAATCAGGATGTTCACCAGTTTTGTCTGCAATCAAGGCAAATATAGGTACCAGTAACGCGGTAACGCAGTCACACCAGAGATGAGAGAACTCCAAGATCGCCTGGAACTCAGGGTATCATGGTTTCTGGTTTGCCCAAGGGACACAACTCCACCCAGCACCTAAGATAAAGGGCCACCGGGAACACCAGGATGTCTAGAATTTCACAATAAGCAGGTGAGGTGAGGTGAAATGGGGTTTAACGTCATACATGAGAATATTTCACTCATATGATGATGTGCATGTGTGTGTATGTGTGGCTGCTTGTACTAGCCCAGACTTGAGCTTGTGCTTATAGTGCTAGCTCACTGAGATACCATGCCACAGTGAAGCATGAATACCCCACTCAGACACATTATACTGACTCTGAGCCGACCAGTCCTTGTTGTACCCTTTCATGCTGAGCGCCAGACAAGTACCAACAAGTATGATATTGTGATGTCTTTTGGTATAATGCTGCCAGGTATCGACTGTGAGCTTCCACTCTCGTTCTAACCACTACACCACGGAGCACATTAAGCAGAATAGCTTACTGAGATATATCTTTCAAAACTGGAATTTGTTTAAGAGGTATTCCTAAACAAAACATTAAAAAAGCATTAAATTGTAACTCACTACAGTTTCTGTATTGGTCCTAGTACAAGTGAAATACAAAACAACTTTGCTATTAAATCCACAACATTTTTTAGCTTTAACTGTACTACTCAAAAGTTTGCAAAAGATCACCATCTTTGGAAATCGCCAGACGATAGCTTTTTTTAACCAAGTCAGTTGTCAAGTGTCATGTGTCATGGGTTGTCGTGTGTCACACAAGGAGAATAAACAGTGGCGTAGTGGTTAGCATGCTGGAATATCACGCCAAAGGCCCAGGTGTGAATCACGGTGGAGACACCAAAAATTTGTGTTGTTTCCCTGGGCAAGGCACTTCGTCCACATTGCACACAATCCACCCAGCTGTTTAAAATGGGTACCTGAGAAGCAGATGTACGGACCTAGAAGGTCATGCGCAGCCCTTAGTAGCAGCTTTGAAAGTACAATTCTGTTAGGGTAATAATGCAACGTCAGAGAACAGAAATGCGTTGGATCCTAGGCGCAAAATTTAGCATTATCACTATTTTTAAACAACCTGTGACTAAGAATAATGAAAATTGTTATGGAATATACGACTTCTTTTATTCTGCGGGGGGCGACGTTTCGACATAGATTCTAATGTCGTTGTCAAGCAGGACAAAGACATGAGAATCTATGTCGAAATGTTGCTCCCACAGAATAGAAGAAGTTGTATATCCATAATAATTGTCATTATTCTTCATCAACTCAAATCTAATATGCCTATCAAAGAAACCTGTGACTAATACCAATATCCTGTCAAAATTAGAGCATCTTACAGTAAGTGAAATGTAAAGAAAACAGGAAATCAAAATATTTTTCCAAAGGTAAAGTGTGCTCCAAATGATATGATCAGAGCCTGGCACCTAATGCTCATAACAACAGTCTGGAGAGCTGCCAAGTGACTGCCAGTAAGATGTACCAGTATTTCCCTTAGAGTGTAGGAAGTCATCTTCAGGTTGTTGTTCATATACTGAGGGAAACAAATCAGTCTTAGTAAACTTAGTCTCAGTACTATTCGTGACACTCCTCTACTGAGTCTAACAAACCCTGATTGACCAATCAGAACACAGCTTACCAAATCGCGAAAGTGGACATTCGCACATACCTTTTGAACTTTTACCTCGAAAAGGTTTGTACCCGAACGATTCCCGAATGCTATTTTCCGTACGATCACTTCCGGTTGATGCACATGGAGCACGCTACAACACTGTCAATAGTGAGTAAACAGTCGCTGAAAATATCCTTTTTGTCAATATTCAAGGATGTCAGCTTGCGGAAATATTAGCTAATGGTAACCATGTCATCAGGAAGCCCTAAGTGTATATACTGCGGGTCAAATATCTGTGTTTTATGCAGATTTTCGTTTGTTGAGGGATCAGTGTCAGTGACTGGGGAATTTTGTAAGTCCCGCCGAACCCTAAACAGTAGCCGTTGTCTGATTGGTTAAATCCGTTCGTCCGTCTTGTGTTTACTTGGACGGTCATAGGTCGCTCAAAGGTTACCTGACGCGACTTTCCAGAAGGTTTTGTTAGACTCAGTATAGTAGTGTAATGAATAATACTGAGACTAAGTTTACTAAGACTGGGAAACAAATTAGGGGACATTTCTTCATCCCAATGTTCATTGCACTGTTGCTTTTTTTTTATTCCCAGAGTTTCACCCACAGTGCAATACACAGCTTGCAAAGAAACCTGGTAAAGAATAAAGGCAAATTTGTACATTCATGTGTTTCATTCCTTATTTGTTTCGACCGCCTCCGTGGTGTAGTGGTTAGAGCGTCTGCCCGGAGAGCGGAAGCTCGCGGGTTCGATCCCCGACCGCGTCATACCAAAAGACGTTAAAATATGGTACTTGTTGGTCCCTTCCTGGCGCTCGGCATTAATGGGTACAACAAGGACTGGTCGGCTCGGAGTCAGTATAATGTGTCTGAGTGGGGTATTCATGCTTCACTGCGGCATGGTATCTCAGTGGGCTAGCACTATAAAACCAGCTTTAGCCTGGGCTAGTACAAGCAGCCGCACATACACATTCACACGCATTCACGTCGTCATATGAGCGAAATATTCTCAAGTACAACGTTAAACCCAATTTCACCTCACCTCACCTTATTTGTTTCCCTCAGTATATGTTTGACATGGCTGAGCTCTGGTGACTGGGTCAGCCACTCCAACTAGTCATTGGTCTCCTGTACTATGTAGCCTTCAATAACACATGTATGATGATGATGATGATGATGACGACACCTGTTATTTCCCCCACAGGACATGGAGATTGGTTCTTCCATCTGAACTGATCCAACCCCTTCCATCTGTGCACGATTACAGAGACTATGAAAGGATGAAAGTAAATATTACACACACCCTTCTCTCTCCTCGATCTCCCATGATGCACTTTGCACACCCTTCACCTTGTAGTACAGCTTACAGCAACCATCCTCCTTCACCTGCACTGTAACACCAAGAAAAGGTCATGGTTATACTTCAGGTCAAGGTCGTGAATTCATGAAAAGGAGTGAAAGGCAGTTAAGAAGGTTATTGAACAGAACATCTCTTCCCTCCCCTGTAACTGGCAATAAAGGTGATGGAAGAAGAAAAACAACCACATTGTGTATTTGGGAATGGCATTATTTAAGATGGACAAAGCACAAATCGATGGGTTATTTTATAGGAGTAATGAGTGAGTGAGTTTAGTTTTACACTGATTTAGCAATATTTCAGGAATATCACGGTGGGTAACACCAGAAATGGGCTTCACACATTGTACCCATGAATCGAACCTGGGTCTTCGGCATGACAAGCAAACGCTTTAACCACTAGGCTATCCCACTGCCCAAGGACAAAAATAATAAATTAGGCAACTGTCCTTGACATTATGTGCATTAAACTGAACACTGAACCAAATCTGTATACTCCAGCAACAGAATCAAGATCAAGTGCTGGTGAGTGAGCGAGTGAGCGAATGAGCGAGGGAGTGAGTGAGTGTGCTAGTGAGTGAGTGTGTGTGTGGTTTTAGCAATATTCCAGCAATTTCAGTCGGGGAACACTAGACATGGTCTTCTTCACACATGGTGTCATAGGGGGCTACAACAGATCATAAGGTAGTCTCTAAGTCTAAGACAAACCAAGATTCCAGGGTCCAATTCAGCATCTAAGGAATTATGAAGCTGTCTCAACTAAGCCAGTTCTTATCGACTAACACCCCGAATATGGACACAAATGAAATCAATCGAAAAATTACACCAGGATAAAAAAACTGGAACGTCACTAAGGAAATTCCTCAGGCTGAAAATTCATTGCTATTTCTTTATTATCATATATATAAAGATATACAATAAAAGCATCTTCAAGAAAGGGGCCACAAGTTGAAAGTAAGTGATATTTTTCTCATCCTTGAAACTATAACAAAGGAAGAGATACAGAACTTTGTAAGAGACCATTCACAATTTATGTCAAGACTGACTGACTGAGTTTGGTTTTACGCCGCTTTTAGCAATATTCCAGCAACATCACGGCGGGGGACACCAGAAATGGGCTGCACACATTGTGCCCATGTGGGGAATCGAACCCGGGTCTTCGGCGTGACGAACGCTTTAACCAACGCTTTAACCATTAGGCTACCCCACCGCCCCACCACAAGTTGAAAGTAAGTGATATTTTTCCCATCCTTGAAACTATAACAAAGGAAGAGATACATTCTGTTAGAGACTATTCACAAGTTATGGCAAGAAGGGGAGATGATGATTTTAATGATGCAGCATGTACAATGTGAATGCCCCAACCCTAACATATGATGCATGTATGTTTCATTCTCATACGATAACATCATCACAAAGCTTCCGTTTAATTTATCTCTAGCACACTTTCCCACACCAAGCAACAAGGAAATATTTCTACCAGGATGTAAAATATGTGTCTATATTGGGATGGTCACAATCATCTTTTAACTTAATGTGAGAATGGAAACCTGAAAATTTCAGTGCAAGTTTTGAGACATTCTTCCCAAAAAAATATTCTGAAAAACCTGAATTCTCTATAATACTAAAAAACATTCTTTATTAAAAATGATTACATAAGCACTTTTCCATATGTTTCAGTATACAACATCAACAATATTCTGGAATGCATTGAAAAGATGGCTGGCGAAATGGGATGGAAATTCTGCTTGTTTTAAGCTAAAAAACATTGAGAAATAGAGTAAATTGATGTTGTTTGATGCAAACTAACCGTTAACTATCCCAACGGCACATGACTTTTATCTGACAGCAAACATTTGAAGTGGTCCCTGTTCTGATAGTAACAAAACATGCACACTCAAACTTTAGCATAGCGTGTCACTTTACTGCAGGGGCGTTGGGGTAGCCCAGTGGTTACGGCGTTTGCTCGTTACACCGAAGACCCGGGTCTGGTTCCCCATATGGTTACAATGTGTGAAGCCCATTTCTGGTGTCTATTGCTAAAGGCGGCGTAAAACTAAAGTCACTCACTCGCTCACTCAAAATGTTTGGGAAAACAGGGCTTGTTCCTTAAGTACTTGAATCAAGGGACCCCATTAGTCTCCAATTCTCAACATGAGATTGTAATGGGAGTACAGACACAAAATGTCCTACTTCCCTTGACTGAATAAGGCACATTGGCACATGGCACGGTACTTATTGCATGTACAAGACCTTCGCTTTGGTCCGTTTCTGTTTCGTATAGGAGATATATATGTTAATGCAGAAAACTGACAAGAGTAAAACAAAGACAGATTTTGACAAAATTATCTGATTCCTAGACACTTTAGAAAAGGTTTAAAAAGGATTTTTAAGTTTAATAAAGGTTAATATGACGGTACGAATATAGCTACCAGATTTTTGGATTGCATTATAGCGATGCCACGATACATTGATACATCGAAGCACTGCTACTTTTTCTGAGATGATAAAATCATTGATACATTCAAAACTGTATCGATATTTAGTTTTGAAAGAATCAGTTTAATATGTTTATATTGTTTACATTTTGCAACTGTATCATGTTTTTTTATGTTGTGAGAGTTATAAATGATTATTTTTCATGCACAAAGATGGGAAATTGGAACTTTTTAATCTCTGAGAATAAAAAATGTTGATCTTTTCATGGATGCTCATAAAATATGAAATATTAATGTTCAAAATGTAACTAAATTTACGCAATAATAGGCATCGTGATACGAATCGAATCGTGACATGGGTATCGTGATACCGATCAATAATGAAACTTAAGGATCATGACATCCCTATTGCATTCAGGGGCGTAGCTCCCATTACAGGGGTGGAAATAACCCATTGCCCGACGCCCGAGGCCAGTGTGTTTTTTCTGTCGGGCAAGCATATTTGTATATCACACTGTACCGGTGTCCAGTTGACTTTCCAATGTTAATTATGTTGTTTATTTTAAAAAATCAACAAGAAAATCGGCCAGTATAGTGGAAAAATTATCAGGGCAAGTGATTTTACTTGTGCCACTGTACTGGAGTACACTAGCAATCTTAAAGTTATTTCCAGCCCTGCATTATGTAAAAAAGCCCAGGCTTACACATGATTGTTGCTAAAAAGGTTGGGCAAGCCCTCAATACTATCTAAATGTACAGTTTTGCAACCTATCGGGCTTACACAAAAAACTGGCTTGCTACGCGCCTGGCATTATGGTATACCGAACCTATGGTAAATACACAGTTCTACATATATCTACTCCCATAATTACTGCTATATAATTCTACTATACCAATTAACCCCTATCTCCTCAGTTTCAAATTTAATACCACTGGATCTTGTACTTGCCCTGGGGCAACCAACTGATATTACACCTCTTGTCCAGCACTGAACATGGTAATGACAACGAACAACTGAGTTGTGGGATAAAACTTCGAACCTTGTAAATGCATCAAGATGTTTATTTCATGATAATAACTAAGATGATGGCTGAGAACATACCATTCACAGGGTCACACTTCTTGTGTACTGCAGCGCAGCAGCAGCTGCCGCAGCAGCAGCTCCTCCATCACTGAAGGTTGATGCTATTGCCTCCATCCATTACAGGTGAAGGTCAAGGACTATTACAGAGACTCCATCACATGTAGCAAGGTCCGGTAATACTGACAACATGAGAAATATTTCGCTGATATGATGCTTGCATCAAATGGCAGTGAAGCATGAATAACCCACTCAGACACATTATACTGACTCAGAGCCGACCAGTCCTTGTTGTACCCATTAATGCCGAGCGCCAGGCAGGGACCAACAAGTACCATATTTTAACGTCTTTTGGTATGACTCAGTCGGGGATCAAATCCGCGACCTTCCGCTCTCCGGGTGGACGGTCTCGCCACTAACCACTACTGTTTATGTGAAGGATTATGGAGGCAGTCGATTTATCAAATTCATGAAATTAGTAATTTAACATTATTTGACAGGCTGAAACCAGTTAGTTTGTTTGATTGTTGTTTAACACTGCCCTGAAATGTTCCACCTACATGACCAGTGTGCAAAATTTACGCAGTCCTGTGGTCCCTGGCTGGTGAAAATTCATCAGGACCACTAAAGGACAAGTTTGCAGTGGTCCTGGTGGCAAGCAAATTTTGTAATGATAGTTAAGTAAATCTATGAATGTTATTTTTGACCAGTGAAGTACAGACAGGACCACTTATTATTGTCCACTCACTGGTCCTGTGGCCTAGTGGAATATATTGAAACGTTTCTTTTCCTGCATGACGGCGGTCTGTAAATAACTGAGTCTGTACCAGACCATCCAATGAGTGACATTATGAACATCTACTCATAATACCAGTTCTTTCATCTCACTACATTGTTTGTACATACTTAATAACCTATCCTTTCCCTTGCTCTTGCATATACTAATTTACATATCTGGCTTCCTGTACATCTATATATATACTGTTCACCATCACCATTATCCACCTGAAGAAGGGGCAAGAACCAGCCCAGAAACGTTGTGAAAAATAAATCAAGAAGTTGTTATCCATAAGATTTGTCTTGTGTTACTGCACCAACTTCTAAATGCCTTCGAAGAATTTCGGGTAGATTCTGTTCCTCATTGTTGTTTTTGTCAATTATATTTTAGGATGCCATAAAGTCTCTACAAACCTATGTTTGATTTTTTGTTGTTTATTTGTTGTTTAATGCAGTGTTCAGTAATTTTCAACATGCGTGACGGTTGTCTGTAAATAATCAAGTCTTGACCAGAAATCCAGTGATTGATACCATGAGCATCTATCTCTGTAAATCAAATATGATGACACACATCAACGTAGTCAGGGAACCTGTCCACCAGGGCCCCGATCCACATTGCGATCTTAGCACTAAGGTGATTGTAACTCGACAGTCGTAGCACTAAGATCGTTTTGTGGGAGGGTACCTAGATCCTGTTACTTGCTCCTTATGATCATGATGATAAGCATTTTTTAGAGATGACCTATCCTACACCAGATCGTCATGGGTTACCTCACCCAAAGAAGAACATCATGTTTCAAAATTTATGCCAATTTACTTCTAAATGAAAGTTAAATGTTCACGACTTTAGGTTAAACATTTCATGCTCTTTAGCCATCCAAAATGTTTTCATAATTTGCATTAATTACATGACACTAAGCTCGTTTCTATCATAATTTGTGTCATTTCATCTTTTGGTAACCAAAACATGAGCATCAGTTAATAAAGGATAATGTTATAATTCCTAGTGAGTGGATAACCATAAAACATTTTTGGGGAAAATTCTCACGTCAATATATGTTTCAAATATTATCAATCTAAGGATTATTTGAGAAGCATGTTTCATGTGCAAATCTGATTGAATAAATTTAACAAATACTTTCTAAACAAGCATTGATTAATGAAATATTAATTGACGTGATCCTTACTTGTTAACTACAAATACTCATATAATCTAACAAAAATATACAATGCTTTATATTAACATAAATCATTAACATAAATATTAACCAAATCAAATGCTATTTATGTTAGAATTCATTTTCTATTTTCAGCAGCTGCCTTACATCCCAATAATGAATTTACTTGCTTGCAGCCAGCCATTACAAGTTATACAACACAAGGGAGGCAACTCTTTCTGTTAAATATGCCTGGAGCTGCAATACTGAACACTTGGTATTCATGCCCACTTTAACATTATGAAATACATATTCCTATGACAGAATAATAAGGTACAGAATATGTCATTCAATCAACTTAATAAAGGTTTGCTTGCAGAACACACAGCAAGTTAACAGCAAGCTCTCCTGAAACAATCATCTCACTGGTATGCAGTTACAAGGTTTTCTCATCTAAAGGGGTATAATCTTATCACGCTGTTGGATGAATTTATATCAGCAAATAGTGGACATGACAACTGTCGAAGATGTAAAGCAGGGCACAGCCTCCTACACCCAGAACTGGTGTACAGTTACAAGGTTTTCTCATCTAAAGGGGTATAATCTTATCACGCTGTTGGATGAATTTATATCAGCAAATAGTGGACATGACAACTGTCGAAGATGTAAAGCAGAGCACAGCCTCCTACACCCAGAGTTGGTTGTTGACATCATGTTGGTGTGAGAGGTGATTAATGGGATCAGGTACTCCAGCTCCCTGACTCGGTTGATATCCCAGCTATATAGATCGATGCTCATGATATCACTCACTGGATCATCTGGTCCAGACTTAATCTTACAGACCATCGTCATGTATCTTGAAAAGTGCTGAGTGAGGCATTAAACAACAAGCAAACATAGCTTATAGTTTTGCAGCTACAAAATATTTGTCACAATCAAGAATGAAGTTATCTTTCAACATGCTAGTATTATGATAGGGGTCTTGGGTCCGGGGGTTCCACTGAAACCCCTTATCTAACTGGCGTGCTGGTCTGCTTAGGGGAATTTACTCAGCAAAGAGTCCAAAGTCACAAGAAGCTAATCACAATTATATTTACAAGAATGGAATAACATGGGGTGGCCACAGAGAGTCGGTACAACCCTCTGGGCTGAGGGCTAGAGCTGACCTGTGTTGGGAGTCTAAACCCTACTGCCAACATTTGGTACTGGTGACTATTTATATAAAATTGAAACAATACAGAGACTATGATTGGTTGACTGACACAAAAATGGGTGTTCCTATAATGACCAATGAAATACAGAATATGCAGTATGGGGTGTGTCCTATTAATGAAATGACCAGGGCCCCGTTCCTCAAAGCGATCGTAGCGCTACAACAGTCGTAACTCCCATACTTTAACATAGGCTTACGACTGTCGTAGCGCTACGATCGCTTTGAGGAACGGGGCCCAGACAGGCGGAGTAGTCTTACTCCTATTAATCCTATTTCAACTGGCACTAATCTCGTTAGCACTTTCACTGGATGCTTGGATGCTTACCCAGGGCTAGACCTTAACGACAGGTTTACTTTATCAAAACAGTTTATTAAACCGTCTAGTCATAACTTTTTCTTACTGAAACGTTTATCTAACAGCTTGAGTCCTTGATACCTTAGGCTAGGATTTTATCTTAAACATCAGTGAAATTGTGCAGCCGTAATTTACACCCTTTTCAATAGTATGTATAATAGTATGTCTGTGAGATGAGTTTTACAACTTTTGACTGGAGTCTTTCTCTAAGCTATTACTGATACATGATGAAACTAATATTCTATATGTATATTTTCCTAATATCTGAATCCTAATATATTGTTTGTAGTGGTCATAATTAATAATGAATTTCCATATGAATTATTATTCCATGATACTAGTCAAGTGCCACACTCAGCAATATTCCAGGTATATGGCAGCGGTCAGTAAATAAGCATTGATCCACACAACTGCGATATGATGACATGTGTCCACCAAGTCAGCCACCCTAACTGCCCGATCCCTTTAGTCGCCTCTTATGACAAGCATGGGTTGCTGAAGACCAATACTCCTACATTTAAGATGTGAGCCCTCATCACCCATTGTAGGGTCATATCTTCACTTTATTACCCACGTGGTCAACTTATGGATAGTTGCATACTAATCTCGTACGTCACACGAGTGTCGTATCCCGTTGACCTGTGTCGTAAGGACAACGATTTGATTGGATAACAGATGATCTCTCAATTAGGTCACATTCTGACGTAACTATTTTTTCATTCATAACAAACACGTGAATTCATTCATTCTACAACTTAAATGCATTGTGGGAATGTAAACATTGCGAACGTTGCCGGGTCGCTGTTTAATTGTGAGTCAAACTGAGACCTTATATCCGTCGAAAAACGTAAACGCAATGTTTCCACCAGTGATGTTAGCCGAATGAAGCAACTGGAAACCAAGAAACGAGGTGCTACGGAGTAGTTTACTGTAGGAGTCTGTACGAGGCGATGACAACTGACATGCATCGTGACGTCGGTTACCAAGGCAGTGACGTCATTACAGTGTGATGTCATGCAAATATTGTAATACAGAACAAAACTCTTCCGCAACCTCTTTATGAAACCGGTTTCGGTTTGAAACCATAAAAATATCAAATATACGCTATATTGTCAATTTAATGCATGTAAGACATCATTCTCTTCCCACAGAGGTTACTCCTATCATATCTTCCTATGTAACCTCTGTTCTAATACAGCCCTTTCATGGTGTGAGCGTTCAAGACTCGTGATTGGAGGCAATCAGATTTAGTTGTGCAATCAGCGACGTTGTTTCAAAAGTGATCATTCGCAAGGCCTCGGTAATTTCCGTATGCTTCGAGAAAACTAAACCTCTTCCCCTGCGCGATGCACAAACGGTTCTTCTAGACAGAACTCAGTCATGTTATGGCGGATCAGTGGCGTCTCCATCGCCCTCGTTGACAACGGACAAGCTAGCCATTAAACGTCTTGTGTGTAACATCAACACAAGTCCCAGCAGATGGGTGATATTTGTGGCCCCACATTTGCTTGTGTTAGTCAAGTTGAATCTAAGTCGATGTAACACGTGTTCTGATTGGATAGAAAGAAGTGAGATAATTCGTGTTGCGATCTTTTGCCGCTAGGGGATTTAACGAGAACCGGGAAATATGGCCGTATTAGAACAGAGGTTCGTAGGAAGATATGACAAGTAACCTCTGTGGGAAGAGAATGGTAAGACATGGCGATGCATACGAATTATACAAAACTCATGACCTTCCTATGGTATCTTACCTCGCTTTCGCTCAGTCAGATACCAAAGGAAGAACACTCGTTTCGTATAAGTCGTATGTTATGAGACCGAGTGTGGTATTCTCTATGGAGAACCCCATCACGGCTCTTGGCTATCTGTACACCGACACCAAACCATGATCACATATCTTGCATGTCTACAGCATAACAACTCACAATGCACAGTTGTATCAATTTTGTGAGCCAGAGGCCAGTGACGAGTGAAGCATCTAAACTGAAAGCTTGCTTCAAGGTTATGTTTTTAGATGTTCTTTCATACATGCAGACAATGTGATGGTTGACATTTCAATGCACTGCATCAGCTGTCGGGTCATATCAATTCTTGAGTTATTGTTTCATGTCACTTTCTTTATGTCGCCTTCATCACCCGAATTTAGAGTGTATTCTCGTGTGTATTCTCGTCGACACAGAACAGACACAAGGAAAGTTCTCACAGTACAACTGATAAATCACCTGGTACATGCAATGTGTTCTGTTTATTATCACAGACAACTAATTTTTTTATGTATGTAATTCTGCACAAGTTCACTGACTGGATTGTCTGGTACAGACTCGATTATTTACAGACCGCCGCCATATAGCTGGAATATTGCTGAGTGCGGCGTTAAACAACACGCTAACAACAACAACAACAACAGCAACCAATAATATTAATAGCGCACAACATCAATATCAGTCGTTTAACAAGTAATTTTAAAGGGAGTCTTCATTGCAGATTGATTCATATTGGAACCAGTGTAAGAGTTTTGTGTTTGTCAAAACCCTCCAGTATATTCACACTGACAATGTTTATATAGTGCTGTCTGTTTAGCCTGATGACTTGTGTTGAATTCTTCAACCACAGGACAGGTATTTTCACGCAGGTGACATTTGCTGGCAGACTGTGCATGATGTAATAGCTGTGAGAACCTGTATATGTCTTGAGAAAAATAGAACATTACTGTAAAAGTGCCAAGGAAAACATTTGCTTTTGACTGGAGGGCTTTAGCTTACCAACAATCTCTCACCAACTATACCAAACAATTTTCGCCGCCTTCTTCTCATAAACAGGAAACCATCTTGCTCCGTACAGCAATAGCCCGGTAGTAGTGCTCGCTATATACTATGATACAGAGATGTCGAAGGTTACACGCGCTGAGGAGGAGCTGCTACAAAGGGAAGCTACTCTAATTCAATGTCGAACCGTGAACAAGCCGGTAACTGCGTGAGCAGCACAAAAAGTGAAGTTCAAATCCTCATTTTGTTTACTTTATTTGCTTGTCTTGACATGTAATGTTTGGATGAATAAACGTACTTGGTCAGTCGCTATATTAATTTCCCCACTGCCGATGTATTTTTAAAATGAAATGTCCTGGATGAACATTCTTGATTAGTGTTTTAATATATACACGTTCGGTACTTAATAATAAGAGAAGGCGCCCATGACTTAATGCACATTGTCGTGGTGATAAACATAGATATGTAATCAAGAAGGTTTCTAAATATCAATGGAGAAAGTTTTATATATTTTCATACCGGATAATGTATTCTTATTACTAATTTGATTCAAAGATATTCAAAATTATCATATCTAATTGAACAAAAACACTGATATCATTTGTTTGTTTTGTAATGTGTTGGTGAATTAAATACTTCAAAAATCCTTTTTGTTATATCTTTAGATTATCCTTAATAATAATCCAGCCTTTATCATCTTGATATTAAAACCTGTGCGAGTTATGAGTGGAAGTGCAATATTATGTATATGCCAGTCTCCTGTCAACCCAAATATGTAGGCTATAACGTTCAGAACTAATACAATAGACTGTAAACATGATCTAACTACATTTAAAATGTTATTGTAAAATATATTAAAAAAATTAAAATAAAGTTGACGACAACCTTCCAAACTGAGTCCAAACATGTTTTGATTATATTGCAATTTCCACTGTTTGGATTCAACACGTAATTTCCTGGAAATTGACGGGCGAACGCATTTCTTGGAAATCTGCACGGCATGCTAAATATCTGGGTTTTTGACAGTCTGTTGGTGAAGTGTTGTGGTTACCATTCATTTGCATGTTACATGTACAGACACATATGATGGCCCTGAACGGTGTGCATAAATACCGAATAGAAACACCTTTAAACGCTGTACGGAGAGCTTGTGTAATGCACTAAGAATGTCAAGTGCCCGGTTCAGTATGACCGAGACATGTCTTAACACGATGGCGATATATAGCTTTAGTTTTTCGCGGAAATCAGATCGCGGTGCACGGTGCACTTTGTATTTTGTTATACTTGTGTTTATGTGAGGTGAGGTGAAATTGGGTTTAACGTCGTGCTTGAGAATATATGACGACGTGCATACTTGTGTATGTGTATGTTCGGCTGTATGTGAAGCTGGTTTTATAGTGCTAGCCCACTGAGATACCATGCCGCAGTAAAGCAGGAATACCCCACTCAGACACATTATACTGACTCCGAGCCGACCCGTCCTTGTTGTACCCATTAATGCCGAGCGCCAGGCAGGGACCAACAAATACCACATTTTAACGTCTTTTGGTATGACGCGGCCGGGGATCGAACCCGCGACCTTCCGCTCTCCGGGCGGACGCTCTAACCACCTCTACACCACGGAGGCGGTCGTGTTTATGTGAAGGATTATGACTATTACCAAAGCAATTAGACAGCATCTGCGCATGTCCCGATGGTGTCTAAACATGGACCTATTTTATATGATCCTGCAGAGTTTTACTTGAAGCACAAATGTGAGTACAAAATTGTTGAATTGCCATAGAAAAACAACAACAACAAACAAACATTGGTACTAGAAGCAAAAGTTATTGTGACCTACAAACAACAAACAGAATCAATGTTAAACTTTTTCTGACGCGAATGAAATGTTGTTACATGGAAAGACAAATGTTTCAGCGTGTTGGTTCGAATTCATCACCTTTGACACGGGGTCGTTACTGGTGGGCGGACACTGTGGGGTCGGTCTACAGCTTGAATGTATACGCTTCAGTAAGGGGGAACCTAAACTTGGGTAGGAAGTATACGCGTTAACAAACTTTTCAAAGACAGACATCTTATGGACGCACCGCCATTTCTATTCATAAGCAGCCCTAAACACAACGATTGTAATGCACGTGCACAACGCAGTAGCCCCATACACGTGCCTTGGGTGTCATTCTTGATTGTGACGGTTTTCAAGAAGGTCGATAAATCACGGTAGACCATTGATTTTTACAATCATCTTGCATCACACAGCTGTTAGTGTTTGTTTCTATCCGTTGTTTTTTTTGTTTGTTTGTTTTTTGAAAATGAAAATCGTACACATGCAAATTTCACGTCATACACCAACCATCTTTCAAGAGCGATCTCGCCATATAGCTGGAATATTGCTGAGTGCGGCGTTAAACAACAACAATCAAGAGTGATTACTATACAAACAACTATGGTCATAAGGAAGTGGTGACGCACTATCAAAACATTCATTATTCTCATATCCACAGTGATTGACTTCGATATATCTCCCATTTTGTATCGTAAATTAAACATCAAGTTCCTCTATATTTTGTGGAAGAGTATATATATGCTAAAGTGCCAAATGGTGTTTCTGTTGACGTTGGATCGACGACGAGCAACGTCACGCTGCGATGACTGACTGACTGAGTTTTGGTTTTACGCCGCTTTTAGCAATATTCCAGCAACATCACGTCGGGGGACACCAGAAATGGGCGTCACATTGTACCCATGTGGGGATTCGAACCCGGGTCTTCGGCGTGACGAGCCAACGCTTTAACCATTAGGCTACCTCACGCTGCGATGAGTAGACTAAAGTATATAGACAGCTCACTATCTGTCTCTTTCCCCGAGGCGTGATATTATATCGAACGATGACTAGAGGTGTTTTTCTGACTTCTGACTTTTGCCTGTTTTCTCGAATATGTTCAGGGTCTTGCACATGACAGGTATGGCGTCTCTTCGACCGGTTTAACATACTCTTTCCCTTGTTCAAATCCCAAAATTACTAATGTAAATATGTCATGTAACAATAACTTTTGCTTCTGAGCATATTTTGCCCAAGACGCACTAACGGTATTAATTCTTGACAAGAATAATTACGCTTTTTTAATTAAAGTAATAATGAAATCCTGGATTTCAGTACACCACACTATTTCATTGCCTTACAGAACCCTCATATTCCTGCAAGGACTCTTGAAATTAGTAACGAGGGGTCCTCTGAACTACTAGTTTTGCAACTCAAGGTATTTGACTTTATTCCTCCAACCAAGGATGGTACCGTTGTCAACCATACAATGATTTTGTAAACAGAACTGATTCAGTGAGTGAGTAGGTGAATGAGTGAGTGAGTATAGTCTTACGCCTGTTTTAGGAATATTCCAGCAGTATCACGACAGGGTACACCAGAAATGGGCTTCACACATTGTACCTATGTTTGGAATCGAACCTGATGACGAGCGAACGCTACTCCACCGCCAAACAGATTCAGAACAGCCAATACCTATCCTTACCTACCCGTGAAGATCCGGGATAGAATTGATCTTCAGTAACCTATGCTTGTTCTAAGAGGCGACTGACGAGATCGGGTGGTCAGGTCATATCCTAATTGCGTAGATCGATGCTCATGCTGTTGATCACTGGATTGTCTGGTCAAGATTCGGTTATTTACAGAGCGCCGCCATATGGCTGGAATATTGCGGCGTAAAACTAAATTCACTCACCTGTCGTTACATCTTTTCTAACGCTTTTCACCATTAAAATATGACGACATAGGCAAAACAATACTCTGCATTACATTTATCATTTTATTTCTGGTGATACATAATAATGTGTGCGCCACATGTCTTATTGAATTTGAATTTCATAATTATCTTATTTTAAGTTACAAACAGAAGCTATGTCAGTAATCCATCAATTATACCAGAAATGAGTAAAATATGAATAAATTAAAAACTAACAACAACAATAAGCAGAAAAGTATTGTACTGAACCTATTTCTTAATGAACAATTTAACCATTAACAACTAATCCCTAAACTAGGAAATTTTCCGTAGTCCTATTGATCTTTTTGAGAAAGACAAAATCCGTCAGTTACAGCATGAACATTTTTCTTGTAATCTGCTAACAAGTAAACCATGAACTCATTGGAAATATTCGGTTTCTATTTCTAAGGTAAAGGCAAAATCCATAAACTACTGTGCATTCTGGTAATCCACAAAAAACTAACAAGTAATCCATGAAGCCAGTGAAAATATCCTGCAGTCCTAGTGGTTGTTGTGAAATGAAAAATCCACCAGTTACAGTGTGTACACTATTCCTTTAATCCACCAAGTATTAACCGGTAATCCATGAACTCAGGAACAGGAAATATTTGGTATTCCTGTTGAACGTTTAATGACACATAAAATCCTTTGGTTCCAGTGTGAATGTTTTTCAGTTATTGACGGACGATTTACAAGTAACTCATGAACTCATTCGAAATTTCCGTAGGTTCCATTTCTTTTCTTTTTAAAGGCAAAATCCATACATTACCGTGTGTTCTAAAACTCCACAACTAACAAGTATTCCATGAAAATATCCGGTAGTCCTCATGGTTGTTGTGAAAGGCAAATCCATCGATTACAGCGTGCACATAATTCTAGTAATCTACGAATGATTGAGATGTTAAACTCATTGGATATATTTAGTTGGGTCGATCTGAGATGTTACAGTCACAACGTGGGTATTGCCATCGGTTTTCTGGAACATGAAACCAATGTTAAACATGACTGATCACTGTCAATACATTATACAAGTACGGATTGGTGGAAATAGGGTAAATTATTGTTCCATTATTTGTTCTTTCAAAATGTTGCACATACCTGGCCTGTAATGATTATCCCTCCTGGAATTGCCTGCGATACATCATGAAATTCAGTGGACCCAACTCTAGCATGAACTCCAGTACACTGGAACTGAGGAATTTAATAACGGTATATTCCATCGATCAACGTCTATATCATAATATAAAATAATGAGACCAAATCGGGACATGAAAGTTAAATATGCTGGAACATACTTATCGAATGATATATCTAAAATGTTTCATAATCCATGTTCCGTTATATTTATACGTGACGATATTTAGGCTGCTGTACACTGTGCAGTAACACGAATAATTAACCTCAGGGAAAAATATTCGATGTCAGATAAAATATGTTTTTCCCTTCATTTTGTGACATCACCATCCCAAACAACCATTTTAAGATCATGAAGAATTCTCAAAGCGATTGTTCAGGAATTGAATTCTCATCCTTACCGTTTTACAGTTGCTTTTGCACCTGTAGGCTGCTGATCAGGTGAATACATGTTGTAGTGAAACTCGGTATTGTGATCCACCAAGGTGCTTGACCGTCACTGGAACATTCAAGGGTTTGATCCTCTGACATCGACACGTACATGACAACAAATGTTGATGTTGTTTTTTCATGTATTAACAAGTTCTGACAAGGTTTCTGCAGGTTCCAGTGGCGTCAAAATAGCTTGATATTTTGTTTATAATATCGCCCTTAGCAAGTACTTAAAATAAACTCACCGTTTGGCCTGTCTGTCATTCTTGATTCCAACAGTAAAGCTAAAATATAATCAACACATGCATATTGTTAGTTACAAATGTAATAACACACATCAAAGGGAAACAATTGATCGACAGTTTATAAGCCATCATTTTAAAAATAAGCATGAGAATAAAACCATGACGTAATATACATGTAGTTTCTTCATAATGAAAAAACACATACTTATGACATTCACATAAGACTATCTTCTCATGTTCAGCCTACATTTCCCGACTTAGTTAAATCGGTAAAAAAGCAAACTACAATTTAATCAGCATGGATCAGCTGATGTTATCAGAAGTTGTGTAACAGGGTGAGGGACACAACTGATGACACCAGATATGGACTTAACATATTGTACCCAGGTTGTGTATCGAACCCTTTCGTGGAGGGACAAGAAGTGTTTTTCGAAACACACGGCTGCCCCTATATCCATAGTACACATATATCAACCAGGTTCGCAAGGATTATACAGACAACCAAATGTTTCCTCCATTACTGTACCTGTTTCCAAGGTGTAATTCAACGCCGCTGCTCCCACGCTGTCTGGTGACCAGAAAGTATGCCTGTCTCTTTATAGTCTAGCTTTTCCAAGAAACTAGCAGATACAGGGCTAATGAAAAATAGCATACCCAGGACACATCGTTCGGGCACAACTTTTATCGTCTATTGTGAAAGCAAAATGATACAAATGTAAACTTAGTTCACAATTATCAACTTTTTGTCTCTCGCAACAAATATTTCATACATTTGTATACCTCCTCTTACATTTCAATTCATACAAAAGAACATTTTTTAGATGATCAGTGTATTTTTCAAAGCGACCATATATGGTAATGGCTTACGTGTTTATCGGCACGCCCACTGGGTGGCTATATATGGCGTCAATGCATATGGCACAAGTGATCTATTCCTGCATAATCAATGGAACAATGCTCGACCTTGAAGAATCACGTTCTCGTCACATGCGCGGTACACAAACACTGGCATGTGTTGTGTATGCGTTCTCAACATTGTAAGCTCATAATGAAGGCAAGCTAACATGCATTCTAAAATCTCATACACTATTGGAGTTAAAACTATTTTGTATATCTTTCACATTTCAGATTGGATCTCAAGGTAGTTGATAACAGTAGCTGTGGTGAAAAAGATTATTTATGATTTATATATAGTTACATTGTCAGAATATTCCATCTTGACCTTTTTTTATTGAACGATTTGAGTACTGGACTGCAACTTGAGACATACGATGATATGGAAAGTGTATTTAACAATGTTTGAATGGTCCCTGATCTGATCAACCACGGAATTACTATACATGGTCAAGGCGAGATTATTTATTGGCCCCAAGAGTATTCAATCATACTTCGACAAAACGAAGCAGTACTATTGAATGGATGTATGCTAATGCAAATAATTAACTGATAACTGGAGGCCTTTAATCTAACATTGTCCATATAATGTTCGAAGGTGAGGGGAGCTATGAAAGTCATTCGAGTTATCCTAGATTCGATAAAACCATGAATAAAAAGGAATACGCAGGAAACGAGATGTTGCTTCGAGACAACCGTAGTTCGACTCATCTAAGTTCCACATACAGGTGACTGTAGTTGATATAACACCCGTTTGATGGGGTGAGAACAACCACAAATAACATTGAATCAGACCATGTTCAAACTTAGCTTACGTGACAGGGAACTTCGGTTGGTTGGAGAATATATTTTAGAAAATACTTTGAAAGATATTTACCTGTTTCAGTGATTGAACAAAGGGTTTATGTACATGTATTCTATCACAGGAGAGGCTTACAATCGATTTCAGATTACAACACACATTTCCAGGAAATCTGCTTTGTGCTTTAGAAACCCACATGGGAATCCAGTTCCAAGTAAATGTTCCATATATGGTGTTATAGCATGTTGTGAACATGATCTCGCGCAAAATGTATTTGATTTTGGGTCGATAAAGCAGAGGTATGCTCGTCAGGTTATTGTGACATGCTTCCAGTGTTACCTGAAGTGATTGAAATATGAACAGTGTCCTTTATCCACGTTCAGTGGCGCTTCTATATTGGTCCTTGACAACACTTTGTTGTTGGTTTCAGTGTAACTGTAGTATGGTTCTGGTTGTGTGATCATCAAAACACAGTGGTAGCTATTCTTCGAGCTTGACGAACGCTCAGATCTGTCATAGATAGTACGGTTTAACATGTGTACCAATATGCAATGTTTGTTACAAAGAAACACATTTAAGGCGTGAAACCAACCAATCTCTCACTGACCTTTAAGACCTATTTCAGAGCAAGAGTAAAAGCGTTTGAGAAATACTTACTAATCATTATCCACAATATATCTTTAGTAATTAAAAAGTCATCATTAATATTTGACCTCTGAAGGACATGGACATCCGGGCTTTTCGGTGCCTAACAACTCAAACAACCTTTAAAAATGACTCTTGGTGACACATTCTATGGTCACCTCCACGGAATGGTTGCCATTTTATAATCTAAGAAGTTGCCATAACAATCTATGTCTTCGCTAGCAGAAAACATGGAAGTATGGGTGATGATTGCAGAATGATAACAGTTACCAGTTACAGTTTTAAATCATGCTCTGGAATCACGAAGGGAATGGTGTTCGATTTATTGTAAGTGCCCATGGCCCCAAGCAATGTGACTTTACGTTTCTCGATGACATTCAGTCCATGTATCTCCCTTTATATTGTGACGTTGTGTAATAATCAGATGCCTTTAACGTTGCTTTGATAGTTTTCAGTCATTGAGGTTCTTCGTTACTGTTCTGTCATTTGATGACATGTTCGAGTTAAATTATGGATGAAGTCTTGCCAATGCTACTTCAGATTTGCAGTCTCTGAAACACTTTCCTGATCTCCCTGGATATTTATAAAAGCTTCAACAATCAACTTCTTCCGCCCACAGACGTCATATTTCAGGAACGCCATATCACATATATGAAGTTGTGTTCATGTAAAAAACCCTCAATGTTTACAAAACTGTGTTTGATTGTAAGTGATATTCCCTCAGGTTTTTAAGTTCAACTCAAATCATTTCAATAGGTGTCCAGGTTACTGGCATTTACTTTGGTAGATTTAGTGTTTATTTTACCTGCCTCTTTCCACTTACCTGTATCTGCATGAATGGTTATCTATGAGCGTGTATATATTGTTGCATGAGATTGTATAGGTTTAGATTTGTGTGTACTAAATCACAATACATCTTCCAGTCTCAGTTTTAAATTCTAAATATATTGTTATATAACTGGGACGAACCAGGTAACTTTTATCGCTATATCACTCATGCTAGTTTTTTTAAAAACCCAATATTATGACGTCAGTAACCAATTTCAATTCGCCTTGTCAAACAAGAGCCTAAAATACATCCAAGTGATGTTCAAGGTGTTGTGGTTCTGCACAATATCATTGCAACAAAGGCGACAGTTTCTATATTAACACATTACTTTCAAGTAAGGCATGTGTTCACTCAGGGCCTCTATTTCGATCGATGACAGTTTAGCATTGCAAACAGGTCTCAAGAGTGTTGTAGCAACCTCTGTATGGTTACATTGTATACATGGTACACAATACCTTTTCAATCAGCTTTGGAAATTTTACATTTCAGACTCTGCCTTTTGAGAGAGATATTAAGTACTGTATTGGTGAAAAATAAAACAAGTTAAGATATTGCTAGTTTTGTGCCCGGCTTACACCAACGGAGTCTCCTAGTCATGTTTCGTGAAGTCGTGTCCCACAGAATACAATATTGCAAATTATTTACACAGTCCTTGCTGTAGAGAGAGCTGCAATAATATGTATTGTATCAAATTGCAACCTCAAAATTGCAACGAAAGTTTTCGTTTCAAGTGGTGCTTATAGTGTTTGGTTTGTTTTGAATGTTAAATGAATGTTTTGAAAAAAGCCATTGTATTCATTTCTGATTATTCTTCACGTAATACTGTTTAAACAATGGAGTCTCCGAGATTCATCATACGTACAGTAACATTTAATAAATAAATGGGTTTTCGTTAAACATGACCTCTGGAATTTTTGTCACAGAGAATCGCAAAAGTAACAAGCATGACTGAGCTGTTTCCGCCGGATAAATCTGACATCAGTCATGCTTCATATAGCACCCCAAAAGCTGCTTACAATGGTGATCATATGTAGAAATGATGATTGACGCTGCAAGTTTATTCCTTGGCCAAATGTAGAGATAACATCAGAATCACCCATACTGCACATCTTGACCATGTTGAACACCAGTTCTTGTCACAGACCATTCGACCATGCGGTTCATACTCATGCAGTTGGTCTATGAACATGTGGACACTGTTTCAACAGTAGGGTAAACATGTTTGAGGTAACCAGATACATTCTGTGGCTAGTTCCATATCAACAAGAAGGGTTCTGGGTGACACTTTCCCAACTACTGACTTTTCAAAGACTTTTCTAAAGGACATTTTTTCTAACATTTGTCCTAGGACTAAGTTCCTCGTAGTCCATACATACTTGAGAAATAGAGCTAAAATATCGTTTGGAATGCTTGAATGGTTGTGTCCCTTCAGTATCCTGTCTTGCTCATGTAATACCCGGCCATTGATTTGTATCGAGCGATGATGTATATTCTGCTGAGAGGACAGTGAGAAGCATGTTATTTGTGTTCAAGCAACAGATTACGTGGTTTTAAGTAAACAAATCAATGGTTGCTGCTGATATGGCAGAACGTTAATCAATAATGACATAATACACACTTACTCAATTAGTCTTTATTTCTGGACTTCCTCGGTTTTTAACATAGGATGTTTGAAGCCTGTTTTTTGTCATAGTAAATGATAAAAGGTGCCTACATGTGTAATCTACATTTTTGTATCATATTCTGATGTTCATATGACAACAGAGAAGTACTTACAACACACGGAAACTTTAAATTTTTGTCTTACATTTCACAATCTCATTTAAGCCTTTTAATCACAGGCATGAATCAGTGTTTGGCTTCACGAAAACTAGAGACTACACTGCACAGTTGAGATATAATAATCTTCTTTGTACCAACATGTTGTCTGAAAAGTTTCTTTGGAGTGAGTGAGTGAGTTTAGTTTTACGCCGCTTTTAGCAATATTCCAGCAATATCACGGCGGGGGACACCAGAAATGGGCATCGGACATTGTTCCCATGTGGGGAATCGACCCGGGTCTTCGGTGTGACGAAGTGTCTTTGGACTATCATTAGGATACGTGCTACTTCTATGCTATCCAACCGAAAAATTCGTGATTTAATTTGACACAAGAAGTTTAAAGTCTAACCAATAATGGGACATACATATCATATAATTATATTTCTTTTCCATGGAGATCCGTGATGTCTTTCGGATTTGTTACAGACAGACCATATGCATCAGAAGTAGTTATCCAGATGCGAACCCTCATATTTCACCTTCACGTCGTAGGTGCTGCCTGAATTGCTCTGAAAATAGTAATTCCTTTGTTAAAATGCATAGATACTTGCAACCGGAAAATTTAAAAACAACAGAAACTACATAAAAACTGTCTGGTTCATATGGATGTAAATAATGGGGAAGTTGGTTTACTCGTTTGAAAAATGCCGAAAGGACTATGGACTAATTATACTCTAGGATTTGAATTGCACAACAAACTCACCCTTCTAGTGAT